TATAAAGAGTCTAGGCTAGCTATCTTACTTGTATTAAGAGCCTGTAAGGAGTATGCGTTTTGTATATAAGTTAAAGCGATATTATTTTAGTTAGATACTAATATTATATACTTAAGGAGTAAACTATAATTAGAGTATAAGTAAGGGCTTTGTTTACTTAAATTCTGAAACATCTTGTCTTAAATAATAGATACAAGAAAGCGTAATAAAGACCTAGTAAAGGGATATAAATTCTGTGTTATATTATTTTATAAAGAAAAGCTATCTTAGTTAATATAAAATAATATATAATAAAATTATAAGTAATTACTTAGGGTCTAAAGCAAGCGCCTTTAGCTTTATTAATATTAAGGAAAACTATAAATGCCTAAAAAAGCTATATAATAAGTACTTATATTAGGCACGCTAATATAGCACTATCTTTACATTACAAAAATATAAGCTAATATATTTAATAAAAAACTTAAAAAAGTTTAATATAAAAGTAATAATTAAAGTAAATAATACCTTAATAATAATAAAATCAGATATTAGAGTACTAGGGCTATAGATTAATACTTAACTAAAGTAAGGCTCTTATTATAAGAAGATATAACAAAAAATAATATAGTAAATACTTTATATTTATACATATTAATCTTTATTTAAGAAGCTTCTTTCTTATATATAAGGCATATTTATAATGCTATAATAAAACTAGTAATAATATATATAATAGTTATCTAGCATCTTCTTAATAAGCTATATAATATAAAGACGCTTATTACTAAACTCTTACTAATCTAAAACAGGTACTTATACGTAATAGTTAAAGCTTATAAGGCTACGTCTATCCTAGTTCTAAAAGCAAAGATATATATCCTGCCTTTTACATAATTCTTTAATAGTACCTAAATAAATACTTATTATAGACTTATAAGTATTAGTATAAAAAAGCTTATTAATAAAAGTTATTATTAGATTATTAATAAGCTTTATTCTTAGTAAGAACGCCCTTACCTTATAAGTATAATACCTAGAGATAAGAAATATAACTAATATAAATATTGCCTTCTTAAACTTAATATAAAAACAAAATTAAGCTATACTCTAGAATATTACTTACTTTAAGAAACTCTTTTATAAGAAGTTACTATTATATATATAGAAGTATAATAATAATACTAATCTTATTATTAATTAGTTAAAGCCTTATAACTAAAGAACTAGTAATTATTATAAAATACTTATTTAGTAATATCTTAATAAGGTGTTAGTATTATACAAAGTAAGCAAATTAATAAATAAAGACTAAGAGTATATTAGGGCTTAGCTAAGGCACAAAGCTCCCTTACTATATAGTTAAGAACTAACAAGATAGGCTTTACAGACTTCCTCTTTAAATAGAAAGTTCTAAACATTATCTTATTAGCCTGCGAATACAGCTAGAGAAGACAGACTGCCTAACACATGATTATAGACTGCCTATTACTTTCGGGCAGACACAATATGCTTGCCGCTGCTAGCACAACTGATTTCCGCTGTCTCCTTAACGACCTAAAGGCTATTAAGATAGTAATATTATAGCTGATAAAGGCTAGGGCCCTCCTCTAGTTCTCCTTCGCTGCTGAACAACTTTGTGCCTAACTCTTAACTATAGTTACTAAGCCTTATGCGCACTATTAAAGCGCCCTAAAGCAGCCTCCTACTTACTAGCAGTAAGGTTTTTCCTTTAAAAAGGTTTCCTTATAATACGTTTATTATTTAAGAGCTTTAACCGCTCTTTATTATATATATCCCTTGTATAGACTAGCCCTAAGCTAAGACTATATTAGTATAAGAATAATAAATAATTATATAAAGTATTTCTAAATTATCTTAGCTAGATACAGATTTTATTTAAGTTTAATGTCAACCTAGACTCCTAGTACCCTTATGTTGTTAGTCGCAACCTTGCGTATCTGGCTGATATAGAGTAGTGTCGTCATATTAAACAGTTTTGGCTGTTCTGTAAAGTAGATCAGTTCGTACTTCTCTGGCGCAAACTGTGCCCTGTGCTTGTTGGCCTAGATCTCGCATTAGTGATGGATGCTTTCAAGAGTTGTGCAGTTTCTTTCTATAGAGGCGCTATATGTGAGAATATGAATATCATCAACGAAGCCAATAGATGATGTTTATAACCCCTTGTTATTAGTCATATCTAGTAGTTCCGTAATAAAAAACAGGAAGAGAATTAGTAAGATCAGAGAACCTTGTGGGATGCCTATTCCTATGTAGAAGACTTCGGATTCGCCCTCGTTCACTTTGGATTAAATGCCTTTCTAATAGACAAAAGAGTCCTAGGATATATAGTATAATACTAGTACAACTAGCGCAGATAAACAGCAAAGCATATACTGTACTTCTGCCTTAATTACATAACTAAACGCGAATTACTATTCATTAATACAGGCACTTAGGACTACTTATAAATACTCGTAATCTCAAGGGGGGCAAAAGCGGCTGCAAGATGGCTACAAAGCCTTAATCTTCTCTCTTAATTCTATAAGGGGTTAAGCATTAACTCTAATTTATACGAATCCCACTCTTCTTTCTGTAATAGTAAGAACCTAGTCACAACCTCTCGCAATAGATAATGACTACTTAGTACATTAGATGAACAAAAAGCGGGTTAATACAAAGGAATAAGTTTTTCTTTTTATAAAGGGTTTTCTTATTATATTTATATATAGTTTCTTTTATAAGCTTTATAACTTGATGAGTAAAAGATTTAATTAATTAATTAATTAATAAGATTTTTTTAATTTTAGTAAAACTTTTTATATAAATATTTTATATTATAATTTATTTTAAATATTTTTTATTTATAAAATATTTATATTTTA